GCAAGGGCATAAACCATCAGCAATTACATGTGTGATTAGAAAGCCACAAGCATGACAACGATGCAGAGTTCTGACAACAGACATTTTTCTAATTCTCTCTCCCTCCCCCTCAAGGCCCTTGGTGGATTCAGACTGATTCATCCTAAGTGTCTGAAGGAGAGGTACGCAGGTCATTCCTTCCTGCAGCAGTAAGACTGTACAACCAGCTCTGCTCCCAGTAAAACTACATGCACCCCCATTTGACTGCACTTTATCACTTCACAACTGTGCCATATTCACTGTGCCATGATCATCTTTCGGTGCAATACATTAACTGTGCATATTATCTCACATAATATTCTCTTTACACTGTATATATTAGTTTAATTCCATTCATTTTTTTTAATATATATATTTCCCTTCCAAGTGCTAAAATGTGAATGTTTCAAATGTATTTACTTTGAAGTAAGTATTATGTTAGATAATTATCTCTACTTGATATACAGTATATGAGTACTTATTACTGGTATTTTTAGTAATATTTGCATTGAAATAAATAACCATGACCTCCTGGAAGAGCAAAGACAAAAGCACTCAATCAGCTCCTATGTATCTGCATGAATCATTTGTATACCACACCACAGTGCAAAGTGCTGTAGCATGCAGAGTACGCTCAGCTTTAAAGAGGATGTGAAGAGGGGTATTTAGTTTTGTTTACCCTCTTAAATATTACACAGCAGCTCTGCTGATATAACATGGGTCAGTTACTGAAGTATGAGGCACAGAAAGAACCATCATTGCATACAATCAGTTTGTATTCAGTGCTAGGAAGTGGATTAATGAAATCTGTTCACACACAGCATCCAAATAGCACTTCACCCCCTTAAGTTCAGGGTCTATATTAGCTCTGTACCTGTGAAAGAGGAAAATAATGTGTTTCATCCAGTTTAATATGGAAGGCAACTGTGAGCAAGCAGGATTTGGAGACAGAATTTGCACTGTGTAAAACGCTGCTGCATTGTGCCTGGCTCTGCTGACTCTGAGTGACACTGCTGCTCCAGTCATGACTAATCCAGAATGTCGTCCACCACCCAACCCTCTCCACCCATGAACAACCTGTGTGAGCACACAATCCACAAGGTACAGTATCCGATTCGCTGCTAATTTCTTTGGCTCTGATGGATCATATATAATAGTTGTTGATGGCGTCAAAAAAAGCGCATTCATGCTTGTCTTTGTTTTATATCTGTGTTTTTTTGTTTAAAAAAAATCTGCAATATCTGTTTATGTAAAATACTATTATACTATATTCAAACTTACTAAAAATTCAAGTGCATGGGAGCAATTGGAAGATGAAATCTTCCCTCTGCACATTTAGGATTTGAATCAATGAAACACTGTGACATGATTTTGAACATTTGTTCATTTGTTTTGCTTAGGTAGACTGAGTAGGATTTGTTCTGTGATTTTTCCACTTCATGATGGTAGCCATTTTGTGTAAAGCACACTGCTCTTCCCCATTGAACCATATTCCATCTGACAAAAAGGCCCCAGTGGTTCAGCATTTTAATGTCTGCTCCGAGCAAGTGAAGACAAAACGCTGCTCCATCTGCTGCAGCTGCTCCAGTCTCTCATTGAGCTGAGCAGATTCACTGGTGGGTCTTTACATTTCACATCACCATTGTTACAACCTTTCTTCACAACAAATGATTCCAAAAGATGACAGAAAGCCTCACATGGCCCTTCCCTTTTGCCTCTCGGGAAAACAGTGCCTGGATTAACCTTTGAGATACAGCCTTGGCCCTGTGTTGGAGTTCTTGGAAGTGTATAGTCTTTGACACATTTTATTTCTCCTACTTTAGCTCTGTCCAGCTGTTACACAGCTCCTGCATCTGAAACCAGCAGCTTCTCTTTATCTTTGGTTTCACTGCAGTGCCTCATTTATCCTTAAGCAAGCCTGTGAGTACAAGGAAGTGTGATTTACCAGAAATTTTAACTATTCACATTATCAAAAGGCTTAATTACAGACATTGACCTTAATTACATTCCAAGGGGAGGGGGAGGTGGAGCTTACAAAGAAAGTGTGACAAAAGGGGAAGATATAAGGGTTGTGGATAGTTTATACTAATCATAATTTCTGTTGCTAAATATGTCTACGATTGTTCAGTCTTCTGTCCATGCGCAGGTATGAGAAGTAAAAGCCAGCTGAAGACTTCATGACTCCATTGCTTTGTGAACTGCAGATTCAAAGTCAAGAGTCTGGCATTTTGGCCTTGACCAACCTTTATTCTTTGCGGCCAGATGTGACCATATAAGGACAAGAGGGTCAAGGGTGGGGATAGATGAGGGATGTTACACAAAAACACCTACTCTATGGACCTGATGTACCAGGCTCCAGGTAAAGTTACTGCAAGCACAGACAGCTTCCATAATTCTAGATAAACATTAAAGCTAAATAAAAATAGTAAAAAGCAAAACAAATTAGTAGTGATTATAATGATGAATGATTGATGTAATAATGTAAAAAAGTAATAATGTTGTTCTGCCAATGCAGATGTCAAAAACATAGACTTTTTTGAGTTGGTGAGGAGTGACATATTTTCTCATATTACTGGATATAAACATGCAGACTTTACAACACACGTTTGTGAAGGTAAAACAGCTGATCATCTCTGACCCCCACACTCATTGCTCTGAAGATACTAGTCACTTCTGTGTTGGTTCAGATTACGATGGGTTGTGGTCCCGGGGTTGTGATTGGACACATACAACCATGCAACAGGCCCCACCCACACACTCACCTGCACCCTATTCCCTTATTAGTTCCTCTGTGTATTTATACCAGTTCAGTGCATTCACTCTCCGCCAGATTGTCGAGTGTTTTTCTGCCTAGCTTTCCAGCATTCGGTTCTCATATTCTTGCCTGCCCTTTCCTGAACTGATTACTACCCTTTTTGGATATTGGATTCCCTTTTGCCTGCCCCTTCAGATTTATTTGCTGTTCGGACTGATATCCTGCTTTTGACCCCCTGCCTGTCTGTTTTGATCTCCAGTAAATAAACCACCTTTTCTGCACTTGAGTTTGTCTGCTGTCATGCTCTAGCTGTCACATTAAGAGGGGGAAAAAAACATAATAATCTCAGAGAGAGCAACATGTGAGTGATCCCTCTCCCAGGATGGATAGAAGTGCAATAGATGCTGCATTGACTGTGTCTAACATAAATGGAGAGGAGTATCAATTTTCAAAGTATTTGCACATTAGAAAATGTCTGAAAGTGAAGAAGGGACCAGTAATGGCAATTGTAATGATAGAGGTATTGCCAGTTATTATTGCATAAAGATGTTAAAGGAAGGTCTCATTACAGCTTTAACCCTGTGGACTGGAGAGCAGTTGTCCTTTCACTTTCATCCCTCTCATGTGTTCCCTCTCATCTCCACAGAGAGCTGGGAAGTTCATCCATATTTAAAGTATTTAATTTTCTTGATCACTGCTCTGCTTTGGAGTTAAATTGCTACTTACCAAAGGAAATTTCACTGAAAATAATCAGTAAAAGTTGATATACTGTATGCTAAAATTCTCTGTCCTTCACCTAATGCAGGCTGTGCAGAGGTGGAAAATTAAAGACTGATGACTTATCTATTGGCGGATTTATGTGTGTTCTTTAGGGAGACTGCCATGACTACAGTGAAAGTATAAATGAACAACTGTGATCTAATCCACTCACACAGAAAACTTGACATAACCGAATGGTTATGCTGAATCTAACAGCCACACCCCTAGTTCTACTTTAAAGGTACAGTGTGTAGAATTTTGTGACATCTAGTGGTGAAATTACATGTTATAGCTGAATAGCCCTCATCTCACCCTCCCCTTCCAAACATGAAACAAAGTCTGAGATAGCCTTCAGTAATGAACTCGAAAGGTGTTTAGTTTGTCCAGTCTGTGCTACTGTAAAAAACATGGCAGCCTCCATAGAGAGGACCCGCTCCCCATGTAAATATAAAGTATTTAAATATAAAGGACCCGTTCTAGGGTATAAAAAAACAAAATTCCTACAATTTATATGAAACATCACTTGGGTTATTTTATATTCAATTTCTGCCAACAGATCCCTTTCAACTAGATCATACACACTGAACATTTAACTCATAACTGATAAGCTCAGCATATATGAATAAACTGACAAAAGTAATAATAATATTAATAATTAAAATCTCAGAGCTGCTGCCATCTCAAATAAGAAGACATAGCATTTGGCCCAGGGATTGGAAATTGTCTTTCATCTGATCTCAAGTTTAGTTGACTGACATCACTCAAATAAATCTGACTTACAGTACCAAGAACACCACAATTCATCACAACCAAATTTAACACACAATCATAGCTACATGAGAAAAAGACAATCTCTCTCTCTCCATCTCTCTCACACACGCACACAACTCCATGACATGAGGACCTTGATATAAAGCATTGCCTATCCACCAACCGTAACCTAATGATCATCACGAAATGCCCAGTCCCACCCATTACCGTACATTGTGAACTGGGTAAATTACTGATATGAGATGAATGCCACCCCTCACAGTGATGGGATCACTAGAAAGAAAATGCCTTATTCACTGTGTGATTTGTTTACTTGTGGTTGCAAAATGCTGTTACAGAGTGTAAAAGCTTGCAGAGACACACAAACAGACACAGAGAAAATTAGAGAATAGAGTTCGATTGGCAGTTTTCCATTGTGTCAACTTTTTGTGCAATGCTACCTTAAACATGATAGAAATAATATGCTTCTTCTTGTCTGACTGCTGGACACCCTGATGGCATAATTCTCCAAAAGACAGGTTCTGCATATCTCATCTGACTGGTATCCCGGTCCATTTTGTGGACATATTTGCTGAGCTCCAGGAAATCAAATTTACAAGATAACAAGCGGCAGGCTGTTTCAGAGCTCAGACAGCAGCACTAAAATACAAGACAACACAGAGCAAGCCAGAGGAGGAGATTTGTCAAAAGGTCTTACCTTGCCAAACTGTTCAAAATACTGCTTCATATCTTCAATGACTGTGTTGGCTGACAATCCACCTACAAATACTTTCTTTGTTCTGGTGACCATCTGGGAGGAGGAAAACACAAAGAGAAGGAGAAGGAAGGAGGTTAGCAACATTTCACAGAACAAAGTAAATAAATTCCTAAGTGTTGGCGTTACTGCTTCAATCATGGAGAATGGTGCTCTGATGCACACATGCATATGTGCAAGTTAAAAACGTGAAAACGTCCAGCCTAAATTTCTCATTGGGTAAATTTCTGTCTTCAAAAAGCTACTTTTTGCATCAGTGGTTATTGTTAGAGGCTGTATTGAGTTGTTTCCATGTGGATAATGAAAAAAAGTTTGTATGTGTGTGGTACAGAAATTGCTTATTTATACTGTCCCATCGTGAGGACTTGACTTCCTTTTGTGGACAAATAGCAAATCCTCATAAATTATTACATTTTAAGGTCATGAGAGATAGAGAGATTGAACAATAACAACATCAGAGGATCTGTCATACTCTAAAAAAAAGTGGATAAAGATGGCAACCATAAGAAGGAATTCATGAAATTGTCCAGAATAAAGAGCCTGTAAGGGTCTGCCGACAAATATCGTGCCAGTAACAACAGCACAATCACTTGGAAGAAATCTGTGTGATCCATCATCATGTGAACTAATGATTACTTTTGTTGTGTGTTGTGCAACACCCTTCATTTATAACACATCCTTAATTACAACGGTTTCAGTAAATAGTGGCCACTTGAGGCTGGCTCCAAGAACGAGTCAATTCCCATTGACTTCCATGTTAAAAAGCCAGACATAGAAAACAAAGACGTCTGTGCTCTACTTTCTTTGGTAACTAAATTACAGTATTTATTTATGTGTTAGCAGTGATGAGCAGGTATCAGTTTCTCTATGCCTAGGCTCTATATGCCATCTGAAGAATTAGCCTCCAGGCAAGATACCAGCAGTAATGACGATGCTAACAGGAGCGTATACAGGAGTTATTAAACTGACACTAAACCAGTCCACATGTCAAGAGACATGAGTGTTATTTTATGGTGATTATAATTTTAAACTGAAGGCGCCTGTGTGGGTTTGGAGAATAAGCTCCACCACGTTAGATATCTAATGTTATGTATTGTTGTTTAGCTCGCCATCCCAGTAGTGTAACATTGATGCTACACTTGACTGTGTATGTCACTGAAAGTAACTTTAGTATTAATGTCATATTAGATTATGTTCCAGAAATAACGTTAGTGCAGCTGCTGCAGTGCAAAATTGGTTGAGCTGGAGTTTGTTATTGTACCGTAAAGTAACATTGAATTTAAATTGTTTACATAAACCAATACAGATTATTATACTTCAGAAACAGATTAACTGTGATCGACTATGAAGTCACATCTGCATTTTAAGAGCAGCTGTTAAAAGTAGCATAACATCTTCTAAAAGTCTTTATTCAGAGTATTGGTGTTGTTGTGTTGTAATGTGTCACAGTGAAAACTAAACTTGTCTGCTTCATTCAGTTCTTTACATTGTTAATCTTAAACAGACTTTACTGGATCTGTCATTTGTGTGAACATGCAAAATTATGTATTTGTTTGTCATGAAAATAAATTATAGGAAGTAGACTAGAGACTAGAAACTAGAATAGAGTCAAAGAGAGAACCTGAGGCTGGTGTCCACCACCTATCTCCTAAACTGAAGTAAACTGATTGTGATCTGATGAACTTTGAAGTAATATATAACTTAGTTTTTTTGCCTGTGAAGGAGTTAACATGACACATATCACAAGTTTTCGCTTAGGTGACTCAGACAGCTCAGCTGGATATCCAACATGAAGAGACAGAACTGCATCACTTCAGCACTGACCTGTTTCATAACAATCAAAGCTAAGTTTTGCACATACTACATAATGCATTAAAATATATATGCAATACTTTTGATGTGGAAGAACTCCATACTGCACATTCATTGTCTTGGTAGTACACTGTTTAATCCAAAAAAAACATATTCAAATACATAGTTGAATATCCACAGAATATAATGACACAATCTTTGTTTATAAGTAAAAGCCAGTTACTCTGCAATAATGCCATACTTTTATGTGTCCTGTCATTTTATTAGGGACGGACGAGCCTGAAGGACACATCTGTGCTGACCGTGTTCTGTCTCTTATGGCAAAGAAGAAAAATAAAACATTGGGCTTTTATCTCAAGTGTATCAAATCAGAAACTATAGGTGACATTTGTTGTTATAACAGTGTTCATATTTTTTTAACAACCATGATGAATATAGAAATTAACTCAATATAATCCTGTAACTGTAAGCAGTTGCAGGTCCTCTTTTGCTGAGGGAGGAAAACATGAAGTGCAGATGAAGCTGGTGCAGGTCTGCCGATCTCCACCATGTTGCTGCTGCTACAGTGGATTCTGAGGACATCCGGTGCTGCAGTGCTTCATGTACTGAAAAGAAAAAAGTCACTATAAAAGATGTTTTATGCTGAAATCACTGTCACAATGAATGCGTTCACAATTTTTGTAAACGCTGAAGTGAACGAATCAGTTTACAAATGATGAACGTTTTAATTTTGGTCATCATCGTGTAGGCCATCATGTGAAATACCAGGAGCGAGAGAAAATGTGTGTGTGTGTATGTGATTGTGTGTGTCTTCCACATACACACACACACAGTGAGATGAGAGGAGCATTCACGTGAAGCAGCCGGCTTGTTGAAGAACAGTGGAAACAAACAGTGAATTTTTCTCCCTGGTCCACATCTGCTCAATGATCACGGCAGAAGCTGCAGTTGGTTTGTATCGTGCTGGAGTTTCTGTTTCCTCCTCCAATCCCCTGCTGACCTGCTCTCACTACTCAAAACTCATCACAAGTTCTCAGGACCTGATCAATACATGAAGTTTACTTAACTTGCTTCAAATTGTTCATTAGACGTTTTTAATAAATGGTTAATTACCACAATTGCATACAAAAATATCAATCAATATGTAGTTGGATTATGATAATGGATAAATGAAAACATTTTGTTGTGTAGTTTCAGGGTAACTTACCTCTAGTTAAGATTGATGGGACGACCGCTAGATGAGCGTGGCTCATCTATCAGTCTTCATTCAGACCACCTCAGCTCTACTCACGCTCTTCCTCTCTGCCCATATTAGGGTTAGCCAATAACTGTGAGGAGTCAGGCACCAGCAAGATGGTGCAGGGAGAAACATCCACCGAGCCTCAAAGTGACTCTCCAGACACAGACCTGTACACGCGGCATCTGTCCGTCCTAGGAGAGGACGTTAATATTTTTTTTTCCCCTCACTCTTGTTGAGGGTTAAGGACAGAGGACGTCTCACCTTGTTAAAGCCCTATGAGACAAATTTGGATCTGTGAATATGGGCTTTAAAAATCAAATTTGATTGACTGATTAATATACTAATCTCCACTACAAAACTTCAGAACATTTCAGTCCAAGTTGAAAAGTGAAACTTTTCACAATGTGTTCTGCTGAACTTGAACAAGGGCCTCAGTGATATATGTGGGTCCAGAAAATTGGATGTAATCAAAAAAAAAAAAAAACTATGCAAATTTGATTTTTTAAAGAATTGTCACGCCATAAATGCAAGGTAGTGTAACCAGATAAACTCAATGTATATTGGACCTGGCCTGATAGATCCTGTGGAGATCACTGCGACTGCTGCAGTCAGAAAAATCAATAAATGATCAGTAAAATGTCGTACCACCTTCTGCATGTGTGGGATGAAGAGAACAGGCAAAAATCACAAGGTTAAAAATAGTAGACCCAGGAATTGGTTAGAACCTTTTGGTATGGACAGTATAGAAGGGAACACCACACCTTTTTTGTCTTTCATGGCTTCTGCAGGGAATTGCAGGTGTCATTTTTTAACATCATTACTTAATTTGGTGGTTAATACCAGTGCTGGAGCCAGACACCATTCATCTTAATGATGAGGTTAGCCACTGTTGCTGTTATGATTGCAGCTATAACAAACAGCCAACTTGAGAATTTGCAGTGTGACATGAGGGAATGTGTAAAGGTCCTCTGAAATAGGCTACACAGTATCTCACATTCACCAAGGGACAAATATATGCCAAGCTTTCTGCAATGCTGACCTAATTACCAGAACAATGACTGTCAGTGTATAGCACAGACAGCACGGAGGCCCTATTGCTTTTCGTTTGATTATTCAAGAAAATTAATAGCATTTTTGAAGGCTTGAACACAAAGTTTGTGTGACTACTGTTGAGGAATGTATGACCATTGTCTACTATATTATGACACTATCTATATAATTCAAGTTCAAAGCATTTACTGTCATATATACAGTCCTGTAGAATGAAATTCTTTCTTTGCCTTCCAATATGAATACCCTGCTTTTAAGATATATATAAAAAATACAGAGGTAAGAAAAAACATTAAAAGTACAGCATCTGATATCTGATAATGTATATTACATAACATCAGTACACCATTAAGAGAATATGTTATTATATATGTTATATTATATGTATATGGTTCCACCTTCTGGTCTCCTAGATGCATCAAGTCTACATTAAAGGTTCAGTGTGTAGAATCCAGTGCCATCTAGAGGTGAAGTTGCATGTTGCAGCTGAATACTCCTCACCTCACCCTCCCCTTCCAAACATGAATTTCAGTGAACTATTCCTTTAAACTCTCACAGTGCGTCCGTAAATGTAGAACATTTCCCCAAGAGTCAGATGTAGAAATGGTAAGAGCACAAAGCACCAGGCTGTGATGCACACACGCTGCACACACCGTTTGGGCCTCCATCACCTTTCATTTTGGTGAACACCATCGTTATTCCCCCTGTGACTCCATCCCAGTGTCCCAGCTTCTATGAGAATGTCAGCTGTCATGGCTGCCTCCCCACCACCACCACCACCTGCACATCCACACACACACCTCAAATGCTGGCTGCTCAGGCTGTGAGGTGCAGATAAAAGGCTGACTACAATACGAGGTGAACAGGTGGACCATTTTCACAGAGCATCAGGCGGAGGAAGAAAAGATATTCTGTCATTGAGCAGAGAGGCGGG